GTCGATGCGAAAATATTCGTCAACATGAGGCATACGCCTCATGCTTGTAAGGCGAGGTGCGTCTCAGCCAAGCTGAAGCGCAAGTCTCATAAAATAAGCTTGAGGCGTAAGCCTCATGGCGTTTTTCACTGGAATTATGCTGAGTCAGGTCTCAAGGCGAGTCTCATATTGTGCAATTTTAAACAATGGTCCTTATTGATTTGGGTTGAATATGCTAAATGATTTCAGTTCGAAATTTGCTTGCTTTGTTAGGAGACTGGTTATTCAAATTGACTGGTGTTGTTTTGAATACTTTTAGCCTAAATACAGTTATGGTTTTGCAAAAGAATATATTCAATGGCCATGTCCACAAAGGATCTATTTTTAGCGTAATAGAACTGAGTTTAAGTTAGGGGTTCCAATTAAAACTCAACTTTAAGCAAACCCTCTTGAAGTTTATTCACCAAATTTCATTCTGAAAATTTTCATAGGAATCGGTGGCAGTGGCTAAGCATCTATATGAGCAACTGGGAGCATGTGATAGTAGTGTGTCTTGGGTGGCAATTGAAGGAAAACAATGTGGCACTTATTATGTTTCTGTGGCCAAAGAGGCAGAAGAGTGCTCTAGGAGAAGTAAAAAGATGCTATGGTGTATTGGTAGCTGTTGGGAATGCTTGTTGGTGACTGTATTGGGATATATGGGCGTGGAGATGGTTGTAATGGTTATCCCGTAGATTATCAAAGGTGGCATATTGGTTTCATGCATGAGTAGAGGTTATGGCAACAGTAACATGATAAAAATAATAAGATTTATTTATTCATTATTAAATTTATCTAAGCATTACACATGCTAGTTTTTATTTTTTATTTTTTTTATCATTATTTCAATTGTTTGATTGAAATAATACAACAACGACAACGTCAAGACTTTATCCCACTACATGGGGTCGTCTACAAGAATCCTTTTTCTCCATTGTGTCATGTTAATAGTCAAATTCTCATTGAATTCTAATAAAAAAAGTCATTTATAATATTTTCTAAACAAGTCTTTTTAGGACTACCTTAACTTTTCTTAACGTAGTTCAAATCTTATACATCTACTCTCCTAAGAGGGTCATCGGAAGGCCTACGTTTTGCATGACCAATCCATCTAAGGCGACTTTCTCTAATCTTATTTGTAACTGGAACTACTCCAACCTTTTCCTGGATATGCTCGCTTCATATTCTGTCTCTAAGATTAAGTCCACTCATCCACCTGAGCATCCTCATCTTAGCAATACTTTAACTTAATATTATGCTTCTCTTTTAATGGCCAACATTATGCACCATAAAGCATTGCAGGTCTCACCAACATCTTATAGAATTTTCCCTTAAGTTTGTGGGGTACTTTTCTATCACATAATAAGCCCGATGCATTCCTCCACTTCAACTATCCAACTTGAATTCGACTAATAATATCCCCATCTATTTCAGCATCTCTCTGGACAAACACCCAAAATATATAAACCATGTACTCTTATTAATGACTTGATCGTCCAAAGTCACAATCCCCCACTAGAACTTTTACTACTAAAATTATACTCCATGTATATGGTTTCAGATCTACTAAAAAAAAACCTTTAAACTCTAAGGTTGATCTCCATAAATCATGTTTACCTTCAACTCCCTCACTACTCTTATCCACACGAAGAATATCATCAACAAAAACACACACTAGGGTACATATTCTTGCAAATGTCTAGTGAGAATATCCATGACTAAAGCAAAAATATATGGGCTTAAGGTTGATCCTAGATGTAATTCAGCTTGTGTTTGAACACAAGTAACAACTCCCTTCAACTCCCTCACTACTCTTATCTACCTTGTGTTTGAACACAAGTAACAACTCCTTCATACATATCTTTAATGACTTCAATATAAGCATTATTAACCCCTTTATTTTATAGAACTCTCCATAGCACTTCTCTTGAAAATTTATCAAAGGCTTTCTCTAAATCAATAAATATCATATGTAGATCCTCCTTGTTCTCTCTAAACTTTTCCATCAACCCTCTCAATAAATGAATAGCTTTCAGAGTAGACCTGATGTAGGACTATAATGCATGCAATAACTTGAAAAGAACTTGCACGATTTATTGCTTAGAATAATAGTGATTATAACTATTAGCAAATAAAATGACAAAATAAAACGTAGGAGCGGTCACTTCCGTTTAGGCCAAGTTGCACAATAAGAGATTTGAATCATCAAAATAACATAGGAAATTAACAACATGCAAATATAATAGCTTTTAACGAAAATCCCTAATCTAACAATAAGATTAGAAACAAATGAAGTGCACTCAATCCCTACGTTTACTAAGCTTGACAGAGTTAGGCGAACATGATCTTCATGACTAAAATCAAATCACAAGCAAGAGGGTTAGACTAAAGAAATACATGAAGAGGAAGATTAGAAGTCCTTTGTTAAGGATCGGATGTAATCTTTCACTGTACGATACCAAGTTGCTCTTCAATAGCCTCGACCAAGGTGTCCAAGATGCGTTCTGCGTACTCTTCTACGGTGTGGTCGATGCACGGATTGACGTCGAAGAAGGTTGAGTGCAGGATGTAAACAAATCCTTGCTCGTCATAGGAGAGGTCGTAATCAAGCTCCTGATCGGCCATGCATGTCTTTGATATTAAGATGTTGGCGACGATTGTTGAGACTTCCCTTGGGGACTCCTATTGAGATGGAGAAGATAAGTTAGATAAATCAAGAGGGAAAAGGAGAGTATGTGGCTGGCCAAGGGTGAGGGCTAGTGTGAGGGATTTAGTTCGGATTTTGGAGAGAGATGTGGGGATATTTGAATTCAAACTTCCTAAGTATTCTCTTGAGTGAGAATAATTAAAGTAAGAGAGAAAGGAAAGAGGGGGGCGGTGACAAGGTAGGATTGGGAGGGGCTTAATTCAATTCCATAAGGAGAAACTACCTTATGGAAAGAAATTAAGTTTATGGGAGCATGGGGATTTCATTCAAGTGAGGTAATGTGGATTTGGAATTATTTCCAAGAGAGGGTGGAGGGATTAGAAAATAAATCCAAAGGGGTTTAATGAGGGGGCCGGCAGCATCAAGGGCTAGGGAGGATTAATGGGGGGAATTAAAGCTTCTTGATTTGGGTTTAGGAATTAGGAAATGTTTTAATTAAATACAATTTGAATTTGAAAGTCAAATAGATTTAATTTAGGAACTTTCCTAAAATAGATTTAGTAATTTAGGAAAGATTTTAAATTTCAAATTAAATGAATTTGAATTCAAAATTTGTCCAAATTATTTCAATCCAAATTAGGCAACACAAAACAACTCCCAAAGGCAGCACAGGAACCGGGTAGAGGAAGCCACGGGAAAACAGCCAGGGATCAAACCGAAAAGCTAACACAAAAATCGGGTAGAGGCAACGACAGGAAAGTAGCCAGGGAGGAACCCAAAAAACCAACACAGGGGACCAGAACATGCACCCACCGACTAGTCATGGGAACAACACAAGGGAAAAATTGAGGGGACACAAGAAGGGGAATAGGCATGCTCCACTCCACATAATGAGCTAAAAGAAGAATCACTTTTCAAATTTATGAGCTAAGTAGTGCAATTACTCCAAATAATGAGGTAAACATCAGCTCAAGCATTAATGAGCTAGCACCAAGAAGATCCCAAGTTTTTAGCTAAAAACCAATGCAACCAAAGCCCAAACCGAGAGCAGCAAATAGCCCAAAGAACAACAGGACCCAAAATGCTAGCAAACTCAAGTCTTGCCATGCGCAAGCATATCCTACCATGATCATTGGATGTTATCCATCATTGGATAGCATATAAAAAAAACATAAAACACAATAATATTCAATTACATCAAAACAAAAATAAGCCAAAATATGAATGCATCATATTAGAGTGAGTCACCTTAAATGGTTTGGTCACATAAAACGGCGGCTTTCCGATGATCCGGTTAGGAGAATAGATGTATTAGATTTAATTTATGTTAAGAAATGTAATGGTAGACCTAAAAATACTTGGTTAGAAAATATTAGAAATGTCCTTTCTTTATTAGATCTAAATGAGAATTTGACTCTTAACAGGACACAATGGAGAAAAAGGATTCATGTGGCTGACCCCACGTAGTGGGATAAAGGCTTGATGTTGTTGTTGTTGTATCATTATTTCAATTGTTTCACTTGAACATGAATTCCTGTCCTTTAATTTTTTCTTCTTAAAAGCGATTGATTAAGGCATGCCTGTGGCTGAGTGAGCATCATGCTGGTTGGCTTTTGCTTAGAAACAAGTTGAGACTTACCACTGCGAGGATGCTATGTGTACGGGTTAGAACCAAAGTGGAAATGCCATCCATTTGTAAGGACACATCAAACTTATTGGTCACAAAAATCAAGTCTGTGAGACTTGCCCATGTGTCAGGGTGTTTCATACGACTGGCTGCTATAAAAAAGAAAATCGTTATTTGGGTCTGATTTTCCCTGAATTGAGGACTTAACCTGCCGACCCCACGTAGTGGGACAAAGGCTTGATGTTGTTGTTCTTGTTGTTTTTGAGGACTTAAAATGCCTAATGGTAAATAGTTTGCGCAGGGAATTCAAACAAGGTTGCAAATCTCTCTAGGGAATACTAAGGGGAGTTACTAGATTTTTATCTAATCATTGGTCAGGTCGTGCTGAACGGTGAATAGTCTGTGTTAGGAAAATCAAACAAGGTTGCAAATCTCCCGAGGGTAATGTATTCATTAGTCTCACTGGGTTGGTTTTTGATCTCCGTCAAGGGTTTCCTTTTCTTGCTTGAAAACATTTCTTCCCTCTTTTTTTTTTTTTTTTCTTTAACTTAGGTTCTTATTTTCTTTTGATTTTTGCTTTTGTAGACATAGTTGCTTGAACTTTTTGGGGCCATATGTTGCTTGCAATGCTCGCCTATTTTCTGTTATTCAAACTGCATTTACTTCCATTATTTAGTTTCTGTGAGTTGATAGTGCTTTTATTTGCAGAGCATAGAGCAAATTGGAAACAGGGCAGACCGCATGAGAATCACTTCAGAAGATCTGTACTTGTATTCTAGTACTGATGTTGAGGTGCATTTTTTAGTATTGTTCTTCAATTTTCTTAACATTTTACGAGTATTTGATTTACATGCATTTTACTTCTCTAAATGTACAGGTGTCTGAATTCATGGATGATTTACCTCCATGCTTAAATAAACTGATAGGAATTACTTGGTTCACAAGTAATTCTAACCCAAACCAATAAATTTACAGCAGCAAACTGCTGTCCACAGCAGAGAAAAAAGCAGGAAAATAGGGAAATCTGAGAGAAAACGCAAGAAACGGCTTGTATTTCACTAGCAATGAAAGCAAAACAAAGAAAGATACAACGTTCTTCGATTCGAGAGAAAGAACAACTCTCCACAAGTCTCTTGCAAACCCTAGAGCCCAAGAACACCAAGAGATCTCAAGCTTCTCATTCAAATTCAAGATGATCCCTAATTCCCCCTAATCTCCTAATTAAACAAAAATAATCATAAAGGACAATAATGGATTTCCTAAAATAGCCCCCTTCATTCAAATTTCTTCCTCCCAAATCAGAATTAATCCCACGTGGGGTCCACAGGGAGTTCCGCCCCTTGCTGCTGTTTCCGCCCAGCCCGTCTTTCGTAGCAGTGGACCGGTCCCTGTTGGACCGGTCCAACCGGCCCATCCTGGGCCCTCTAACATTACTCCTCTCCCAAAAACTCACCTTGTCCTCAAGGTGAAAATTGGGGAACTGTTGCTTCACAATTTCATAAGGCTCCCAAGTAGCTTCGTAAGCGGGAAGATTCTTTCATTTAATCAACACCTCCTTGTTTCCTTTTTTATCAATCCTTACTCCTTGCAACTCCATAGGTTCCACGATCACCTCTAACTCCCCTGTCAAAGATGCTGGTAGCTCCGCACTAGCTACATGTTCCCCTAATGCTCTCCTCAGTTGTGACACATGGAACACTGGGTGTATGGTAGCAGAAGAGGGCAACTTCAGATGATACGCCACTGCTCCGATCTTGTCCAACACTTCGTAGGGGCCAAAATATCTTGGCGTCAATTTCTCATTCCTTCTTCTCGCTACTGTCCTTTGCCTGTAGGGTCGTAGTTTTAGAAATACCTTCTCTCCCACTTCAAACTGTTTGTCTCTCCTGTGTGAATCTGCCTGCTTCTTCATGATCTGTTGAGCCCTCATCAGATGCTTCTTTAATTCTTCCAG